TAAGAGGCAGGCAAGGGGATCACCACAGAGGGGATGTGGTGACGGAAGGAGAGGAAGACAGACGCAGTGGAAGATGCTGCTCCGCTGGCTTTGGAGACAGAGGATGGGGCCACAAGCCAAGGCATGCAAGGGCTTCTAGAAGCTGGAATAAGTAAGGAAACAGATTCTCTCCTGGAGCCTCCAAAAAGAAAACAAGCCTAGTGACCCATTTGGGGACTTCTGACCTCCAGAATTGTAATGGAATAAATCTGTGCAGTTTTAAGCCATTAGGTTTGTGGTAATTAGCTACAGCAACACTAGAAGCCTAATGCCCCTGCACAGTACCCAAGGGGGTCCCTCTGCCTGGTCCCCAGCCCCCTGCCACCCTCCCAAATCACTCTCTGGTGTTGTGTCATGTAAACCCCACTAGACAGCGGTCAGGAGGGTGACTCAGACATGGGAACAAATGCCTTGGTTAAGCAGTAATGATTCTCAGAGGGGGCAGGCCAGAGGGGGAGTCATAGGGAAGAACAATTGGTACTAGATGTTTCTTTCACTTTAACCTTTGTGCTCTATTGTTTTTGCTTCCAGCTAAGAATGTTGCCTATAGCCTGAAATATACAGGAGAGCCCATTCTCAAGGCTCTGACCCTTAAGGGTATAACACTTTCCCATTCATATAAAGAGTTGCAGAACAGAGAATAACACTCATCTTGTTGGAGGTTTACAGGAACATGGCAACCTGACCTAAGGAGACAGCTGGAACAACAGAGAAGTTTGCAGCAAACAACAACACCCCTCCGTCACCTTGCCTTTAAAAATGCTTTGCTGAGGGCTTCCCTGGTGTCTTAATGGTTGAGAGTCTGCCTGCCGATGCAGGGGACACGGGTTCGTGCCCCGGTCCGGGAAGATCCCACATGCCGCGAAGCGGCTGGGCCCGTGAGCCATGGCCGCTGGGCCTGCGCGTCCAGAGCCTGTGCTCCGCAACGGGAGAGGCCACAACAGTGAGAGGCCCGTGTACCGCAAAAAACAAACAAACAAAAAAATGCTTTGCTGAAACCCTTTGGGGATTTCGGGGGTTTTGGGGAGCATGAGTACCCGACTCCTTCCATGGCTCTGCAATAAATCTTTCTCTGCTCCAAACTCCAACGTTTCGGTTTGTTTGGCCTCCCTGTGTGTCGGGCACAAGAACTCGTCCAGTAACAGGGGCTGTGAGGCCCACACAAGCCCCGCTCACGTTTACCCCTCCAACTGCTCCCAAACTAAGCCTATAGACATGCTCTGGGATGCTCTCTAATAGAAGTTTCATATTTTTCTCCTTCCGTTTTTTAAAAAAACATCATACCCGTGTAGGGACTGTCTGGTGAGGGAGGCAACACAACATAGAACAGAAAGGCCCAGCCCGGAATCCTGGAAACCTGGATGCTAATCCCCGTCTACCCCACCTTTGGAGTGGCATCTAGAAAGTTACTGGCCTTCTCTGAGCCTCAGTTTCCCCATCTGTACAAGGGGATGAGACTGAGGCCCTAGTCGGCTGGCATGCTGATTCCATGGGTCTAAACACCTCCCCACTGTTGCCAGTCAGCCTGACACTGTAGGAGTGGAGGCGGTCAGGGCCCCTGGAGAGCCGCCACCTCCAGAGCCCCAAGCTTTCCCAGCCAAGTCCAGCTCCTGGACCGGGAACTACAATCTGCTTGTTCTCTGCTGCCCCCTTCTGGCCGTTCAAAAACAAAGGCTTCCAGCTAGATCGCTTGGAAACAGTCAAAAGGGACCCTCAGGAGTTGCCCCTGCTACTTCCTGCATGCACCGACCTAGACATGGCCAGCCAAGACCTCCTTGGAGACACAAGGAAGCCAGTGCAAGGACCAGAGGCCTGGCTGGCGAGGCTGCCTGCTATGGGGCCCGGAGTCAGCTCTCCCCATCTGCATTCCACCTCCCCCGGCACTAGTGAGATGAAGTGTGAGATGCCATGAATTCTGAAAAGCGGTGATGTTGTTCCATTCGCTGCCTTGGGATGACAGTAAAAAGAGGATGGTGTGTCCCTGCTCTCTCGCTCTCTCTCTCTCTCTCTCTCTCTCTCTCTCTCACACACACACACACACTCACACACACACACGAATTCACACAAGTGAAGCACACAAAAAGCGTGCGTGACAAGGCAAAAGTTAGCAGGAGGGAGTCCACTGAGAAGACCAAGAGAGCTGGACCAGGAAAGCAAAGAGAGACCGTGCAAAAACTATGATTAAGAAGCTGAGGGTATGTCAAAGGCACATTATGATTTGTGTCCCCCATTTAAAAAGAAAAGACAGGCAATTAGAAATGCTGGGTGCAGATGAGGCTGGGGGAAAGCTGGCCTAGAAAGTCATGAACCAAAATGTGGCTTGATTTTAATCCACTGGATGCCATATGAGAAAGAATTCCCAGGGCTTTTGTAATAGAAACGTCTCAAATGGCTGCTGCAGTTTGGTGGGGGGGGGGGGGGGGGGCCCCCAAAGCTACACTCAGGCCTGGATGCCACACCTAAGACTCGTCCTTTTAACCAATAAGGCTAATTCCAGGCTTAGAGGGCTTCACTCCTATCCTCTCCCCTTGCCCCTCCCCCCAATTAAAACTCCACTGTCCAGACTCAGTGTATCTGTACAGCTCCTCCACTCTAATGCCAGGGTGTGTCCCGCCACACTTCACGGGGGTCCTGGCCCCTACCCCTCTTTGTTCTTGGGCTTGCAAATGTCCTGGGGCATCAGGAGGGGAGCCTTCCACCCAGGATGCACTGGACAGGACCACACAGGGTCCTGGGATACAGTCAGGCATCAGTCCCGCTGGGGGGACCACAAATGAAGTGAGAGATTCACTGTCCCCAGGAAAAGGGGAAGTAATGGGGACGCGGCACACACAATATGGACAGGGCAGTGGAGGCTGGGAAGCTTGCAGACCACAGTTCCTGTCCTCAAATAACGCCATTTGCCGGGCTCTTCATCTGCTTCTGAGCTGCCCCTGAGACTCTGCCTGTCCAGACACCACCCAGGCCTTTTTTCAGGGCAGCCGGGAGCAGGTGAAGGTCCCCTCCGCTCTCATCCCACAGCCTCCACCCTGCTCCTTCTCTAGCTCAGAGCCTTCTTTCCGGCCTCAGGACATTCCTCCCTTCTGTCTTCTGCAGGTCATAATGTCCCCTTCCTTGGACTTCCTTTAAAATCTCCACCTGGTTCTCTGACAGTATACCTGGCAGCCCATCAGACACCGAGCCTGATTCAACCCAAAATTAACCCTCTTTCCTCCACGGTGGGAGGATTTAAACCTCAAATCTCCTAGTGCCACAAACGGAAAGAAGAAAGGGGGAAATATCCCAGGTTAAAATAGACGCTGCCACTCCAGTCGCCAGGAACATCCTCATTCTGGTGGTCCAGGGGTCATGAATTTGGAACCACAGAAAACTGCAATCATACTACACGGCCATATTCAGGTAAATGATGTCTATTGATTTTTTCAGATTTTAGAGTCAACCGATGAACAAAGCATAGAAGACTTCATTTTGGTGACAGAACACAGACGTTAACAGCCAGGATGATGGGAGAGTAAAGGTACATCAAACCGGTTAGGGAGGAAGAAGTGGGAGATGAGAGGAGAGGTCCCTATGGCTGCCACCCTCATCCCACACAAAAGAGAGTCCCTGCGGCCCAGCAGAGAGTTCTAGGTGAAGAATAAATACCAAGTTACAAAAATAACCAAGCAAAGAACCAGCAATGTAACTATGCGAAATTAGGAGAAGGGGAGGGAAGGAAGGGATCAGAAAGCGTCAAAGCATTCAATTCTCACTTTACATTGACGTGGGGTAAAAAGCAGAGTCCGCCTGCCGATGCAGGGGACACGGGTTCGTGCCGGGAAGATCCCACATGCCGCGGAGCGGCTGGGCCAGTGAGCCATGGCCGCTGATCCTGCGCGTCCGGAGCCTGTGCTCCGCAACGGGAGAGGCCGCAACAGTGAGAGGCCCACGTACAGCAAAAAAAAAAAAAAAAAAAAAAAAAAAAAAAAAAAAACAACACACACACGTGGGGAAGCTGATTTAAACATATGGAGATAGAGAAAACTACCAAAAGAGTAAAACACAGGGTCCATTAAAACTGCTAGCTCGGGGCTTTCCTGGTGGCGCAGTGGTTCAGAGCCCGCCTGCCGATGCAGGGGACACCAGTTAGTGCCCTGGTCCGGGAAGATCCCACATGCCGCGGAGCGGCTGGGCCCGTGAGCCATGGCCGCTGAGCCTGCGCGTC